TCATCGAGTAAAAACTTGCTTGAAAACAGAATATTTTCACATTTCGCGTAGGTAAAAATTCTTCTGTATCTCAAAATGCGGAAAAAATATATAATGACATATTTTTATATTATTAACTATTTCAGAGGTTTTCTAAAACTTTTTTTTGTTTAATTTTCTGTACATAACTGGATTCTGCATAAAATTCTGCATATAGTACACCGTCTTTATTTAAAGCACACTGCGGTGTGGCCATTCTATTTCTTATTTACTAAAACTTTGGTTAAAAACATTATATACGAAAGGTGGTAAAAAACTAGAGTGAATATAACTTTATTAATACTTAGCTATGTTTTCTTAAACACGAAGCATACCAGAATAAATTCGTGTAGAAACATTTACTTTATCGTATACAGGATATTTTTTAAGGCGTCACCAAAATCGTAATATTTAAAATATTGTATCTCATTTTTTTTAAATGCAACACCATTTTTCTTTCAGATGTAGAATTAAAAGGTAAACATTTGTTGTATTTAAAGTGTTCTTAAATTTTTAGCCGTTTTGCAAATATTTTCTGTATTTCATTACATATGGGATTTCCAACGATTAAATATCAGACAAAGATCATATTAGGTAGATAAAAATTTACTGTTTAAAGAGCCATATGTAATATAATACTGCGAATATCAAACCGTTAAAAATTTAGAAACCCTTTAAATAAAAAAATGTTCACTTTTTAATTCTTCATCTGACAGAAAAATAATATACAGAATGTGGTATTTAAAAAAATTGAGATATACCATTTTAAGTATTCCGATTTTGGTGACGCCATAAAAAATACCCTATACAGGGTGTCCCAGAAATGAGTGCGTAATAAATGAGGCTCCAACACAGCAGCTATGCTATCCGGTGCAATAATCCTCTTTCAACGGTAAAATGAGTGCGAAATAGAATAATGTAAAATAATTAAAAAAAAATAAAACTAACTTTACCATAACTTTTTTGTGACACCCTGTATATAACAAAATATTTTAGGATACGCCCCTTTATAAACCTTGAAACATATGAATAAAACTTTTTTCACATCTTCGACAACGACGGCGATATTGGACTTCCTCGCACTAATAGGCCACCCTGTATATTTAAGGTGGTTTAAAGCTAGGTGTGGCACTTTTCTTCCGTCAAATATAAACTCAATATTTTGTCTATAATATTTTGAATATTGTTATATTACGACCACTTATAATAAAAAATAAATAAAAAAACATAAAAAAATACAGTCCACTAAATTTTTAAGAGATTATGCTATTATAAAATTCTTTCAATTAAAAAATATGAATAATTTGCGGGGACTTTAGATGTACAAAATATTTACTCTAAAATTGTTTCAAAAATAAATCTATATAAATTATCTCGTAAACTATTATTGGAATGAATCATGCGCATATTTGAGACAACCTGTATATCTAAAAAACTATTTTTAAAATCTGCCCACATGCTAAAAAAATAATAACATTTAATTAATTACATAATTAAATGTTAATTGATAATTACTATCAGCTTGCCGATTTATATCCGATGGAAATCTAAAAAACTCAAAGAACAATTTTTTGAATTATTACTACAATTAATAGCAGCAATGCACTCATTTTTTATCAATCCGTCTCTGTGCTGGAACGCAACGCTCGAACCTCGCAGCTCGACGGACGGAATTCAACGTGAATTCAACTAAAACGCTTTGCAACCTGCCGATCATCTGCCGATATTCGACAGCTTACAAAAACTGGCAGAAAATATTTACGAGAGTGCAACTACTCTTTTCCTTAAACTATGCTATTATTGACTAGAATTATTGTGTACTACAGTGCATTTGGATGATAATTTCTAAGTTAACAAGGAGATACGGATAAGTATTAATTTAGATTAAAATTTGGAGTAATTAATGTTGATTTTCAATATGGATAATCCAATTCATGCGATTTATGCGACGTATACAATACATTCATATCATTTCTAAGTATTTCGGTTGAGAGACTTTTTCATGTTTGAAACGCATTAAAAATTAGTGATGGGATAACTCGAGCGAAAATTCGCCCGAGTACTCGATTATTGAAATAACCGACATCGCTCGATTATTAACGAGCGATGCAAGTGACGAGTACCAAGCGACGAACGCAAGTGATCTTAGAATGAAATAAATTGAAATCCGATTTTAATGTGACATACGCGATAAAAAGCCGAGCAAATTTTCTACATACATTGCAGTTACCAAATTTATACGACGCCGTATATACCGGGTGCGTCTCAAAAGTGGCTCACCCAAACTTTTTTATTTTTTAGATAAAAAAATGAGATTTGGTATGTTAGTATATGACATAAATTAGGATTGATTGACGTATTCAATTGTTTTCTGTCACTTCCTGTTTCACAGTAAATGACTACAATTTTTGATTTTTAAATGGCACCCTCGGTATTTTTTTACTTTATTCAATAGAAAATGACATTCTAAATAGAATGACGTATCATATGTCAACTTTTGACATATTCGCTCAAAAACAAATTGTATTTTAAATCTCAATCTAGAGTGCCATGTCTGTGTTACACTAATTTTTAATCAAGGAGCCTTGGAAAAATAGATTTGATCGTCTAATGTTTTTAGTGTCTTGTCCTGACCAATTAAAAGATGCCCAAATCGTATTTTTGATGATTTTTTTGTCAAATGGAACGAGGGTGGCTCATTAGCATATTTCGAAAAAAAAAATTTTTACGAATAATTTGATACCACACACTTGGTACTTCGAGTCAAATTGTCGTTATGAACCGCATGCTACAATTTCAAATAAACCATATGCGAAAATGTCAAAAGTTGACATGTGAAATGTCATTCTATTCAGAGTGTCATTTTCTACCGAATAAAGTAAAAAAAAATACCTAGGATGCCATTTAAAAATCATAAGTTGTAGTTATTTCCGGTGAAACCGGAAGTGACCGAAAACAATTGAATATGTTAATCAATCCTAATTTATGTCATATACTAACATACTAAATCTCGTTGTTTCATCTAAAAAAATAAAAAAGTTATAGGGGTGAGCCACTTTTGAGACGCACCCGGTATATTCATCCGTTGCGTATCTGAGGGACAAAATTTTACGACCTACATCGATAATGCTTCGAAATAAACTAAATCAAGCGATCAAGCGAATCGCTCACTGCTTACTACTTGGCATTCATTACCGAAAGAATATGTGCCCTGCGTACGCAACTTACTGCTTGGCGTTAACGAGTACTTACAACATGTGACGGGTGAAAAACCGTATTTTTAAATACGAGTGATATATCGCTCGAGTGATCACTCGGTTATTGCAATCGCTTGATATTCGAGTACTCGATTATTGAAATTAATCGGTTTTCCTAAGGTTTTTCCCATCACTATTAAAGATAACACTAGAAATTCAATGAAAAATAAACGTTTATCGTCATTTGCCTTACTTTCAATCGAAAAAGATATTTTCATAGCCCTTCAACAATCTGATAACATTACTGATATACTAATAATAGGTACATAAATTTTCATTATTAAGAGATCGGCGAATCAATTTAATATTATATAAAAAGTAATTATTCCTTTCATTTGTTTATGAGTCTCGAAATATGCATATGAATAAGATAATCTGTTTTTCTTTGTAAATTTATTTATCTAATTTGTCTTTGTAAATATATTTACTTATTGTTAAGCTACGTAAATAAATAGAAATAAAATAAAGTCCTATGAACTGCATGGTACTATTATCTACCTTATTTATCAAGCATTAGCATTTAGCATGCTATCTGAGGAAATAAATAAAACACACATATCCATTATGTTAATCATTATCTCATTATGTTGAATGCTGTTAGTTTAGTTTTATCCTAAATATTCTTATGCTATGTTTTTACCCATAAGCTAACATATTGGATTGGTTTTTACGAACTGGGTTAAGATATTATGTAAATTTTGGGGAGCAAATAGATGTAATTTTGAAAAAAAAATTTGTCGCCTACACAGTCCCACAGGCCACGAGCCGCCACTGGTCTATGTTATAGGACAAAAAAGTAATTTTTCAGCATTCCATCCTATCAAATTATGCAGTTTCATTATATTCTTACTAAATAGTTGTTTGTGAGAAACGCTTTCTTGGTGGTGCAGATTAGAAATGTATAAGTTGCTGGTTTTATTCTGTTAAATTTATAACTTACATTAATAAGAGACTAACATCTATCATTTTTTTCATTGTTTACGCAGAGAAATACGAAGGCGATTCTTCATCCGTCCGGAAAATCCCCTTCGTGATTCGATCAGATCATATATGCGGATCAGTATGATCCATTCTTTTTTTTTTCGACTTTGGACGAATTTTCTTTTTTCATTCATCCACGCATCGATAGGTGGATACACCCAAAAATAAGCTAATTTGACGATCATGAGTAGTCTCGGCAGTTTTATGCCGAAAACGAGATCTCGACCTGATTTTTAGCCGAGAATGTACCGAGACCGAGGTCTCGGTCGGACCTTACTCAATATTATCATATCGATATTGATAGCCATAAAAATTGTGTTTTGTTTTTAGTAATAAAATTCTGTTCAATTGAATATTGATTTGAGTTACAAGAAATTATGCATGATCCATCTACATAGGGTGGAGCAAGTTCCCCACCGTGGTTACGTCCATGTCGGAAACTATCTGTTTTTGAGATATAATTTAAATAAGGCGATTGTAAGGCTCCACTATTTGTAGTTTGACATTAATTTTTTGTTAAAAATACAGTTTGTGAAGATTTTTTTTTCAATTAGGAATAGTAATGAGCGAGACTGTCCTTGATCTTAAAAAAATTACGACCAAGAAGAAAACTAGCGTTAGATCTGCAAGACATAGTTACTATGATAAGACAATAATACACATAAAACTAGTTTTGACTTGCATTATTCCACATGAGTATTCAAAATTCAAACACTGAGTGACTTGAGAAAAGAAACAAAGAAATGATTTCAACTTGAATTTATTCTTTCAAAAATTCATAGATCTAGGGCCATTTTAATAAAAACAAAATGTGACATACATATACATATAAAGCCTGTTAACCCACTGTTTCATAATCAGAAAAAAAGGTTTCAAAATCTTAAACAGGAAACATTATGAAGAGATCTTTATTGTTTCCTGTTGAAAGCTTAATTTGGAACCTCGAAATTAATGGTTTCAATTATATTTTATATTTAAGAGTTTACAATCACAACATAAAAAAATACAATTAAAATGAGTAGAATATCCTAGTGACAGCTTGCGGTAGTCAGTTGTATCCACAGTAAAAGCCTAATAATTAGCTTATAAAATAATATTTTTTTTACTTCTAACCTCAATTTCTCTTCATGGATAATAATCAAAGGCCAACATGGCATTACTCGCAAATTTTGAACTATAATTAGTGGTTAACTTTTTTTACTAATGAAAATTAGTACCGTAAATTTAGACGTTCTGAACACTTATATTGAAATTAGAGCAAACAACAGGTCTACATTACTACTTACAAACTTCTACACAAATTGAAACTACTAATTTCGAGGTTCTGAATGAAGCTTTAGACTTTTAATTTCATTTTTGTGGAATGAAAGTTTATGATCAAGCATGTTGTGTGAGGACAATCCTTAATTACCTACTTGATCATAAAATTCTTTGATGGTCCAGTATAATAGTTAGGCTGTCGCAATCGCGCCATGCAATTTTCTCTTTGGACAATCTGTATTTGATTTAAAAAATACACCTGTGTTTAGTGTGTAAATGGTTTCGATCACCATATTATATATAAAAAAATTAACATCTTTTAAGAACAGTGGGTTACCCTGTATTTATTTGGGGCCATCCATAAATTACGTCACACGAATTTTAGGACTTTTGAACCCCTTCCCCCGTCCTTGTCACAGGTCGTATTTTTAGAACCCCCTCCCACTGATGTGACGTCACACTTGTGCTAAATTATTAATAAATATAGATCAAAGTCGAAAAGTTTTAAAGCTTTTTAAATTTTAACGTGTCACAAAACTTTTAATCCCCCTCCCCCCTTTAACGTGTGACGTAATTTATGGATGGCCCCTTTTAATGACATTTATAATCAGTACAGAGTCTATATTATTTATTAAAAATAGAAATCTCATTTACATATATTTTAATTATGTATTAAAAATAACTGAATTAGTGCATAAAATATTATGACTAGCGCATGTTTATGATTATATAAAAAATCTGTTTTTCCTAGCCCATTAACCAAAACAAACCTAATTTCAACTTTATAAAACAGAAAACTTCAATCATAAAAATTAATTTATTTCATTCTTCGATTAGGTTCACTAGCTGTGGGCGGAGGGGGCGGTCCTCGTCTGTCTAATTCTTCTAAATAATTTAAAATTAATTGAGTGCGCTCTTGTGGAATGTGATCCAGAACCAAATATCTGCCCATAAAAAAAATAAATTAATAAAAGCTCAAAAAAAAAAAATTCAAACTTACCTTTTATCATTCTTCAAAATATCCTCAACTTCTTGCATGTGGTTTTGATTTTCTCTTAAAAGATTAAGTGACTTGTGTGTTATTAATTTCGTTTCCTGTAGTAATTCTTTGAACTGTCCTTTTGCCGTCATAAGTTTATCTTTTAGATAATCCTTAAATTCTCGTTCACACTAAACAATAACAAAAATTATTCAATATTGTTAATAGCTCTGACTTGTGTTACTTAAATTTAATAAGCATGTTTGGGTTTGGGCTTTATTACATAGAAGGTCACAATATAAAGTTCGCAAGAAATGGTAAAAATTTAGTGAGTTGGCGAAAAAAAGTTTATACAGTATTACTTCAGCATGTCCAGTAACAAAAAGTAATTTCGACATATATCATATGATTATAGTGTCATTTACAGTCCTCCATTCACGCAGTTGTGCAGCTCTGAACTGTTCAAGAACGCGATACTCTCCCTCCATTCAATTGAGGGTAAAAACATAGTAGAGCGACGAGGCTAGAGGCACAGCGACGAGGTAAGCGTCGCGACTTGAATTTGATCGTGTATTGTAATGGAGGCAAACATAGTAAAGAGATTGCCGAAGTGTCAAGCGACGAGACAAGCGAGGAGATGCGCGTCGAGATAAAAATATGATTTCTTGTCGCGTTGACGCTGGAATGCGTGTGGCCTTTTATCAGTTGACTGGTATCATTAAGTAGGTGTACTGCTGGTAAAGAGACAACATTTATCATTCGCAATGGCTGAGAATAATATAACATCCGTATTCAACATGCGTGCGTTATGGAATGCATCTCATCCAGACCACAGAAATGCTATGCATTAGACCAACTTTGGGCAGAAGTGGCTAGAGAATGTGGAATAACAGGTAACATTGTCGGAGAACATTGTACATACTGGTTTGAATTTGGAAAGTCGAGCAATAAATCGCAACTTTTGTCTCCTTACTATGTACATGTCTCTTATCGCGTCGCTTATCTTGTCTCTTACCTCGTCGCTGTGCCTCTAGCCTCGTCGCTCCACTATTACAGTCCAAGACACTCGAAGAAATTTATCAGAACTTACGAAATTCAAAAAATAAATGTTTAAAAATAAACATTTTCCTTGATTTAAGTCTCTTCAACGAACACCTCAGTAGATTGAAGATCAGTAAATTGAAGCTAAGAAACAACGGCGAATGCAGATTCTGTGGGGAAAATGGGGAAATATCAAATATCTCATCACAGAGTGCGCCGCGCCGAGATGACAACTATTCGTGCCTATAAACTTTGGTATGGCTGATATCGAAGATGGGGAACTAACATCTGTAAAACCGTCGCAGATACTGGCTTTTGTCAAACCCCGGAGACTGTATGTGAGACTGTATGATCTGTATTTGAGTTATAACTCGTTATAACTCAAGAAAGGGGGACACAATAGATTTGTAAGGTCACTGTGATTAACCCCCCTCCTATACATTCTACATGCACCAAGTTCCTAAATAAAGGGGGTCCCACAATTAGTGCGACAAACTGAAAGGGGTTGTAGAAGGCATCAAAACAAGTCATTTGAATATAGGAACCCATGTCCGGAAATGTGCCGTTTTGGCAGGAGGTGGAGTGAAACGTAAATTTCAAGTTACATTATTTCCATTCTGTTGAAGACACAAATGCACACGCCTGGACGGCACTTGGAGTAGTTTTTGTAAATATTTTGAATAAATAATGCAACTTGAAATTTACGTTTCACTCCACCTCCTGCCAAAACGGCACATATCCGGTCCTATACTCAAATGACTTGTTTTGATGCCCTCTACAACCCCTTTCAGTTTGTCGCACTAATTGTGGGACACCCTATATAGACATGTAAAAAAATAATTTTATCAGGTTGCTCTTTTGATTTCAGCCGTAACATAATATACAGGGTGTCCCAGAAATAAGTGCAAATATTTTAAGTGGTAGTGTAGTTCAAGTTCAGAAACACGCCTGAGGTTTTCTTCGCGAAATTTTTTTTGAAAATTCGAAATTTTTTGATTTTTTTTAGTTTTTGGTTAAAAAACATAATTTATTGATAATATGGCAACATAGGTATTAGATTAAATTTACAAGAAAGAAAATCCAGAAAAGATCCAGTGGTTCTCAAAATTTTAGCAAAAAATCTTTTTTTTTTGGAAATTTTCGGAGTAATATAACTCCGTTATTTTGGACTTATTTGAAAAACGATAAAGAGAAAATATGTTTCTTTTATCGAGATCTACCACCCCTTAAAATACTTACACTTATTTCTGGGACACCCTGTATATACCCTGTTGGTTATTCAATTTATGTGGTCTGGATTTTAACGAGTGTGACAGAGACTAATATAAATGACTGGTTGACAGACAGAGAGACAAAATCAAAAGCGGCATACAGTGTTGCCGGTTTTTTACGTTTGTTGGAAAATGTGTGTAGAAAAATATAAGCTATTTTAAAAACTTTTATGTATACTACTGAAATAAAGATAATATATCTAAACTAAATATAATCTATTACAGCTGTAGTAAAATCAGTAACTAATAGTGAAAAATAAAGTTCTAACCCTAAATGCAACCTTTTTCGTAAAGGCCTACTGTTGCGGTTTGAAATTTTGATGCAAAATCCGGCAATAGCGCATAGAAGAAATGTGTCGACCCAATTTTTATCTCTTTTTAATACATTTGATTTTCCATTAAGCTGTCTACATCACTGTCTTACACGTTAAAATCCAGACCGCACAGTTTCGATGACCAAATAATCGGTATATTATGTATTAATGCATACATATTTCTATATTTCTTAGTTTAATTATTGATTTAAATTGAAATTTAGTAATCGACAGCTTATAAATAAATCAAATTATTCATCTCACCCTTTCGCTAGTGGGAAACTTGGAATATCTTGGATCTTCTTTTACAATCTTTTTAATTTCTTTCCAGGTGCTTATTAAAGTAACTTCTGCTGTTTCATCTAACATTTCTCTAAAGCTTTGGCGTTTCTTTTTCAAAAGTTGTTCAATGTGCTCATTGAACAGTTTTTCTTTATCCTCTCGCGATAACGAGTCAGCTAAATCCCATCTGTGATCTTTACGAAGAATCCTTTTGACTTCTTTCCAGCTCAAGTCGGAATTACGGACGAGGTCGACAAGCAATGCATTAAAATGCTGTAATAAAATTAACATAAATTTACTGAAGTCTAAATTTAAAAAGTTTCTTAAAATTAAAATATAAAATTATAGAATATTTTTATATAATTATGGTTGTCATATTAAAAATAATTAATATAGTGCTACAAATGAAGTCGGTCGCATCATATTAAAGCATCATATGGATTTTCTTTATTAATCAATTTAGGTAAAATATGACTGATTATAGTCTAAGAGCTGGCTACATAAAAAACCTTATCATCGTTACATGGCTATTTTTTCTTGTGAAGCATCCTTATATGTTACAGTCATGTCTGCCTGCGCGATCTCGAGGCTTAAAGCGGGGGCGGCCAATCGAAAGGGTGAAATTTTGACACTAAAAGTATAACACTATATTTACTAAATATTTTGACACTATAAGGTACATGAGTTATAATTGCGAAAATAGCTTTTATTTATTATTAAGGAACGTGAAAAATTGTTGGCAGACATTTTCTGGTTGCTAAAATGCCGGCAGACAACGCGAAAGAAGCATACAATTTTGGAAAAAAAATTATGGCTCACATGCATGCCGATTTGTGGAATGTCATATTTATTCATTTTAAAAGCCGTATGCAGACGTATGTAGACAAAAAGATCGTGGCTAAATCAGCGGCAGACAGTTATCAAAAGCGCGGTATTACTCTAGCGCTTTCAGGGAACGCTCCCCGCCTTAAAAACCGTGCGTTTTTTAAACATTTTCCTTTATATTTTAGAAAACTTCGTAGAACTGCCTGTTCACCGCAAATTTTAAAAAATTATTCAAAAAGAAATTACCCACGGTATAATTTCTTAATATACCATCATTACAGCTTTAGTCATGGTTACGACACTAAAAGAATGGATGCAAATACAGAAAAAAAAACAGGTGACTCACAAAATTATTTAAAAATAAATCTTTCTAAAAATGTCTTTTTAAATTTTCAAACTTGAACGGTTAGTTTGGACTCATTTGAAAAACGGTAAATAGAAAATATATTACTTTTGTGTCGAGATACCAGCCCTGAAAATATTTGCACTTATTCAAGACTCACCCTGTAGAGTAATATCGCGCTTTTAATAACTGTCTACCGCTGATTAAGCCACGATTTTTTTTGTCTGCCCTTTTGCATAGTACGGCTTTTTAAATAAATAAATATGACATTCCATTTTTTTGTCAAAATATAATGCTTCTTTTGCGTTGCCTGCCGGCATTTTAGCCACGAGAAAAATGTCTGCCAACAATTTTTCACGTTTCTTAATAACAAATAAAAGCTATTTGGCAATTATAACTCGTGTACCTTATAATATTTTTAGTGTCAAAATTTCACCCTTTCGATTGGTGGCCCCTACTTTAAGCCCCGGGATCATGCTGGCAGACATGATTATTTCATGGCTACACAAAAGGATACTTCACAAGAAAAAATAGCCATGTAACGATGATAAGGTTTTTTAAGTAACCAGCTCTCCGTCTATTAGTTTTTGCTTAAGTTTGTATTCCCTTGTAAAACCCTGTTAACCAGCTTGCTAAATAAATTATGTCAAGTACTGATTTAGGTAAAAAAATGACTCTGGCATTAGTTTTTGCTTGAGGCTGTATTCCCTTGTAAAACCCTGTTAAACGGTTTGCTAAACTAGTTAAGGATTGGTTTCTGAAAAATATCGTTTTAATATGGAACGGTTCGGTAAATGATAGAAATGCAAATGTTAAATTGCAATATATTACTTAGAAAATTTTTATTTTATGCTTTTGTTCATTTCAATAGTTACTTTGAAATTTTTATACAACACCGAATTGTAATAGAAGATAATTATATACAGGATATCTCTTAAATGAGAAGAAGTATTTTATCTGGTAAGTGTATTTATATAGACCCAAGAAACACAATGTGCAATTTTTTTTTTAATTTTTCGGAGAAATTTAAAAAACTTAGATTCCTTGATAACGTTATCAAGTTTTGCTTATTTTTGTGAGAATGAAATCCATACATTTTCTTTGTCAAACTCTTGTCCTTTCGTAATAGACTCAATATCTTATGTTTTTCTTTGTAAAATAAAGATGTGTATGGTTTTACATTTACGTAATTTGGCACAGTCTGCTACGCGTCATCGCAGAATAATATAAAGAACCCTTTAATAAATTTAATTCATTACAACAAACAGAGTATAACAAAGATTTTCGCAAACCCTACAAAAATAATCTAACATCGTTAGGTTACCATCTATTTTTTTAAATTTCCAACGTTAAATAACTCAGTTATTCTCAGTTTATTTGAAAAATAACAAATAAAAAACGTTTTTTTTTGCCATCCTGTATACTCTTCGTCGCGATGTTAACGAAATAGAAAATTCTGAACATTTTGGATTGACTTATAATTGGTCATAGTTACCTTGTTATAGTAATTGTTGACGCAGCGATGGTTGCCATAGCAACGATTATCATGGCCACCGTCGCTATAGAATTTTGTATCATGGTGATCATTATCATTGAAGAAATTATAATATATAACGATTTCAATTTAAGCCTAGTATAATCTTATTTTTTATGTATAAAATAAAATTTACGGAGTCGTAACAAACTTTCACCTGGATGCGTATTTACTAAATCTAATATAGTGCAACGCAAGTAACGCCCCCGTTCAATTTTATTGGTCAATTTAATTAATCTAATCCGTCACAACGTATCGTTTTAAAATCTAATTGAATACAATGCAGCCACAAACGCCTTACGGACGCTTGAAATTAGGCTCCTAAATACACACGGTTATAACGCAACCTAGGAAACTCTTAATTCGTTGCAGCGCAACCGCTGTTTATTTTCCTTTAAATAAGGCTTGTCAAGGCTTTTCAACCCCAAGAGGTTTTAATTGATGTGGCCAATAATAATAATACACGTAAGTTGTTTTAAATATTTGTAAAACGACTCGCTAATATTTTTTTTCTATAGAAAGTATTAACGAAGAACATAGAACAGCGGTGGCTGAATTAAAATCAGAGTTGAGTAGAATCTTCAATTTAGCGGAAACTCAAACATGCAATATTGCCCTTATCAAGAAACTTACCAACGCATTGAAAAAAAATAACCCTGCTAGCCAATTAGACTAGTTTTTTGCAATAAACAGACCGACATTGAGACAAGGAGGGATTATAAAAGTGCAACCAACTGCCCGTGGTAGAAGAAATGCTTCCATTGGATCTAGGCGTGGTGCTAAAAGGGTTCAAAGTGGCAGATTGTAAGAGGAAACATTTCCTAGCGCTAAATAGCATGTCCAATATACCTAATGCTAAAATTTATTAATGCTGTTTTTTATGTATTATAATACTTAATCTTGCAAGAAAGTTCCTTTGTTTATCTTAATTAATAAAGCTAGCAGGTATCATTTATTAGTGTACATATACCTATATCAGTCGTCCAAAATAAAAAGCGTTGAACGTCATCAATGACACCACGCGTCAACTTATGGAGTTTACTGGCATACTCTGTTTTTTTTCTCAGGTAAGATTTCGACAGACGATGACAGAAAAAAAGCAGATGACTTCCATACCAATTCATTTATTTTACTAAAAAATGTTTCTAATATTTTTTAAGTTAACTATGGATGGGTTTATAAATAAATATGTCATGCGTCGTCTCTTGTTGTTATAACCAGTTTTATTGGTTTATTTAAAAAATGACAGATCATATTTCAATATTATTGGTTTGACGCCACGATGAACGACAAACGGACGCCTATGCGTATGAACTCGACTTGAGATTTTTGAGAATTGTCAAACTCTTGTCAAATTATAGGTTATAATTTAATGTCAAAATATGTCAAATAGAAATGATAAATATTTTGCATTTTGGACTGTGTTGTTGCTTGTGTTTCGTGTTTTTTTAAAATTAAGTGGAGGAAAACTCTAGGGAAAACTAAGTGTTGACCCAGACCATAGTTTACAGTTAATATTCGGTGCACAGAGACCGCCAGAGACACAGTTTTCCAGAGACCATGACCAGAGAATTGTATTAGCCACAAATATATTGTATACCATCTCGTATATGGTACCAAAAACTGGAGTATTTGTAAAATAACATCACACGATAGGTAAATAATACATTTTAGTACTGCAGAAAAAAGTTAAGATTAAATTTAATTAACCAAGATTAGTTTTTTTCAATTTTATATAGTTTTTTTACAATATTTTGAAGTAATCACTTTTCACTCAAAATTTAAATATATGAATTATGCGTTCCAATTGTACCAACTTATTTCTTTGTAAAATAAAATAAACTTCTTTGAAATTAAAATGACAGACACATCTATCACTGTCAAGGATTTTGTCGTTGGATAGACTATAGTCGTATTGTGACGTGCAACGTTTTTCGATGACCATTGTAACCACCTTATTATTATTGTGTTCATAATCTTTTATACTGGCGGCGCCAAAAAATGTGCTGCAATGAATTAGGTTTTGTCAACAAAATAACAAACAAAATAACAACAATACTCATTACTCGCCGACACTAATAATTGAAGGTTATGTTATAATATTCTCCTTTTGATTAGATTAACTGCCTTATTTAAAGGAAAATAAACAGAGGTTGCTGCAACGAATTAGAGTTTCCTAGGTTGGCGTTGAAGAACAACTGAATATCGAATCTAGACTGTCGATATCAATAAATCAGTCATACTTAAGATATTTTGGCCACATATCCAGGAACACCAATGGCCTAGAAAAACTAACTGTGGAGGGAAAAGTGAACGGGAAACGTCCTAGAGGGAGATCTCCAAACCGTTGGAAATTGGGACCAAATGAAGACAATAATAGGTCATAGTCTGCACGAGGCCAGTACTGCTGCGCAAGACTGCTCTTATAGAGTAATAGGAAGGAGGTGGAGGTTGGCGTTATAACCGTGCGTATTTAGGAGTCTAATGTCAAAAGTCTTGTAAGACGTTTGTGGCTGCGTTGTATTCAATTAGATTTTAAACTGATACGTTGTGACGGATTAGATTTTAAATTCACCAATAAAATTGAATGGGGGCGTAACTTGCGTTGCACTATATTAGATTTAGTAAATACGCGACCTGGATAGTAATATCTATTTTTGTAATAGAAATAACCCCCCTATGATTTCAAAACAGCCAATTTAAAAATATAGATAAAATTAGTAATAATAATAATTTACAACTCAAAAAATAAGGATTGATTTTTAGTATATACAAATATTTTAGTCTTGCTTTCCTGCTGAAGGAATCAAATTATATTCTGATTTTGAGTTATTTAAAATATTTTACCTGTCTAGCTTCGTCTCTCTTATGTTGCTCCCTTTCTTTATCCCTATCTCTCATATGAGTAGCCAAAGTCCTTTGTACTTCTTCTTCTCTTTTTCTTAGACTAGCTTCTGCTCTTGCTTGCCTATCCTTTTCTTTTTCCTCTTTAACCTTAAAAGAATAAGATTCAATACACATAAACACTTATATTTCTCAGTCTTTACCTTCTCATCCTCCGAATCGTGATCTTGTTCTGCTTCATCGACTTCCTTACCAGAGGCAGCATCATCTTCGTTTCTCTCTTTGTCGCCTTCGTCCATAGGCTCAGATGTTTCTTCTCTAGACTCCTTTTCTTTTTCCTTTTCACGCTTGTCTTTATCCTAAACAAATTGAATACAACGTAAGTATAGCCTGTCTGGCTGGAGGACATGATTTTGACAGATGGTATCCAAATAATGAGAGAAACAATTTACGTCTAAATACAAACGACAAAAAACTGACACTGATGTCATATTTTTTCTCCAGATAGACAAATTATTATTTTTTAGACGTTTGTCATAAATCACATTAGGAATATTAACTACTTTAGTAAAATTATATAATTTTTTCACATTTAAAACTCTCCCAAACTTATAAAAGCATTGTTTTAAATTGCAAATATTTTATAATGTTTTTCCAATCAAACGGAATACCTTGTGTTGTAGGACATAGAGAAACGAAGTTCATATTTATTAATTCACCAAGTGACAAATTAATTGTGCAATAAATTAAGACATAGAAATATATTGGTACCACTCTATAGATATCCCGTCATACTCGGCTTGAGGACAATTTAGAAATATCACAAACAATTTTACATGCACTCATGTCTAAAATATCTTCTACACCGAGACAAGCCGTGATTGGTTGTTTGTGTTTTTTATTGTTACTGGAATTGTCTCGATAAATGTTTCAAGAAATGTTTCAATCAGTTTCGACAAAACTTTTATAACACGCGTTTATATTCTTTGTACTACTTCGTGCAGCAATCAAGGTCAAACTTGTGGTGGCTACAGAAAAATAAGTAAACATGGAGTATGAATAAATATAATTAGTTTGTAATGGAGAGTAATGTAATGCCACTATATTAAACTGATATGAAAAATCAAAAACAGTGCATATAGAAAACACCGATGATTAGCGATGTAAAATTCCTGCTAATTTACAAATCGGTAATATTATGGTAACATTGGTAATTTATAAAAAATAGCTTTTTAAATAATTTTTTACCGGTCAAAACTGTAAAAACATTACAAAAAAAAAAGAAAATTTAAACTAGTCAGAGTCAGAGTTGCCTATGTTAATTCGGTCACACACAATGTATCAAGCACCTTTCAACGTTGGACACATGAATATTTGGCACATGTTGGAGATACTTGTCTATTGCAATATTGTTTCGGTTGTCGGTATATTGCAATTTCGTTTGTCGACTGTTGACGATGGTAAATTTAAAAGTTTACAGCCAACATACTTTAGAAAATATATACTTTGATGAAAAAGAGTAGAGCGGAAAAAAGGAATATTTCCTGTGTTACCGATTATGCGGTAATATATGTCTATAAACCAATATAAATACCTTCTTCTCCTTATCTCTTTTCTTGTGCTTCTCCTTGCTTTTTTCCTTTTCTCGTTCCTCTTTCCTTCTTCTCTTTTCTTCCTTTAGAATTTTACAGTATTCTCTAAACCAGTCTTCTCTCATTCCATGCGAGTCTACAGCTTTGTATCTGGGATCGGTGTCTACCTTCCTCTTAACATCAGACCAATGAGAATGTCGGTCGATGTCGGAGTGCTCTCGAAGCATAGTGAAAAAGTCTTTCTTAATCTGTAAATCATGGATTAGAAATTTAAAATTTTGGAATGGACAAGTGTGCCTAAAAACTAAAATTTGCAGTTATACAAATTATTTATTAAAATAATATAGATATGTATAAATAAGAAAGTATGTATAGAATAGTTGTTCAAGTAACGCTTTTCCCTATAAAAAATAAAGTCAAATCTGAAAATAAAATTTATTAATAAAACCTGAAAAAAAAATCATTAATCCTGAAAGAAAAATTAAAATTCGCATTAATATTTTCCAAAGACTGCCTTTTCGGTATGACAAGTACTATATTTTAGAAAGCTACGAATTATTACAAATCTTAATATAATAATTCTGGAATATTTTTATACAGTAAAAAAACTACAATCCTCTTTCACGTTGGATATTATCATAAAAAGCGTATTTGGAAAATACTTACGCTATGATTAGATTTATAATTAAAACAGATTTGATATAGAATAACAAAAAAACAACGAAATTACTTAGACTATAACCTAGAAAAATATATTTAGCAAACATATGAATATAAAATGGTATGAATATAAGACTTGCATCACTATGTAAATAACTTTAGTCTTTCATTATTATTTCATATTACTAAATTTCTGTTAACTCTGCAATGTTTTAAAATGAGCTTGTTTACTTTTCAAACAAATATACCTAAAATGTATAAAATAGATACAAATTTAATCTATAAAAACATAAATACATTCATTATATTTCTAATATAATTATTGAAAGTTAGAATATTGATTTTATCTACATAGAATCTTTCAATATACCTATAATTAAAACGCCTTGTTTAGACGTTAAGGATATTCTTATTTTAAGTCATTTTTTTATTTGTCATTTTTACTTAAGACAGAATGACAAAGATGATGTAAATAATAAACAGGCCATAAACAATGTATTTTAATCTAAACATGATTAGTTTTTCAAATGATTAGAGGAAATTGCACTATACAGGGTGGCGCACCTCATTAGCATCGGTTGATGCGAATTGTGCACCTCATTCGCATCGGTTGATTATACGAAAACAGAAAGATGTAGAAACAAAATATTTTATGAGTATACGTATGTGGGGAGGCTATGTGCATAATTTAAAATTATTTTGAAATATACAGGATGTTTCAGAACTAAGATCCATACCAAAGTTATATTTTTTCTTATGGAACACCCGGTATTTTATTTCATTTTTGGATTCTTGGGCCCAAAAAAAGGCATGTATTATAAGGAAATATGTTTAAAATATTTGGAGATATTGAAATATGTATGCTACAATAGAATAGATTATTAACACCCTGTACATTACTTTTCAGAATTAATTCTTGTGCTGAGTTTAAAGGTGGGGAAATAAACTTTACTGAAAAATGTTATTGCTTAAATTTATACAAGGGTACCAAAAATTGCTGATCTATTTGAAGGATTTATTTTATATAAAAACTTCGTTATTTCAAATACAACACCCTGTATTTTTTTAAATAAATCGAAGCAGATTCAAATGCTCTTTCAAACTATATTAGGGTTTCCTGTACCTAGCTAGCTCAGATTTTGAATAAAAAGCGATTTTTCAATAAAATCCATGGCAATTTTCTAGTGACATTTAGTAACTATTTTCAAAATCGACATTAGCTAATGGACTTTATTTAAATTTATATCAGGTTATTTTTATTTAATTTACCTACAATAAGGTTAATAAGTAAGTATTTATTACTTTATCAAGAAAAATGAAGCAGTATCTGCTGGCGGAAGGAATGGATATGTTACTAGTGATTTTATTTTGTGAGGACAATTGCTTCTTGGCCTCGAGAGCTTATGCTCAAAAACATTTAAATAGGAATCTTCCTGATAAGCGTTTCTTTGAAAAACTACTTGTCCTATTTCGCAGAGCTGGTTTATAAAAAAAACCCTATTAGAAACCTGTCGTTGGAAGTGAAGAAAATGAATTTGCCGTAATTCGCTCATTTACAGAAAATCTCTATATCTACAAGTCATCGTAAAATAAATCACAGAACTACTTCTTCATTTTTCTTGATAGAATAATAAGTACCTATTTAATAAATAATATTTATTATACTATTATAGATAAATTAAAGTGAAAAATTTAAATAAAGTCCATAAACTAATTTCGATTTTGAAAATAGCTACCAACTGTCACTAGAAACTTACTATGATAACACTAGCCGTCTTGAATGCCATTTTATTGAAAAATTGATCTTTATTAAAAATCTGAGGTAGATAGGTATAGGAAACCCTAATATAGTTTGAAAGAGCATTTGAATCTGCTTCAATTTATTTTAAAAAACACAGGGTGTTGTATTTCAAAAAGTTTTTATGTAAAATAAATATTTAAAATTGACAGCAATTTTTGCTACCCTGTATGCATTAAACGAAGCAATCAAATTTTTCAGTAAAGTTTATTTCTATGGCTAAAAAGTCAGCACAAGAATTAATTCTGAAACGCAATGTACAGGGCGTTCATAATCTTTTTTATTATAGCATGCTAATTTAAATATCTTTAAATATCTCAAAAACTAAAGCTTGTAAACATATTCAATCCTTATAATAAATGCCTTATTTTGTGTCCACGGATACAAATATGAAATAAAATACCGGATGTTCCATAAGAAAAAATATAACTTTGGTGTGGATCTTAGTTCTGAGATACCCTGTACATTTCAAAATAATTTTAAATTATGCACATTACCTTCCCACATATACTCATAAATTATTTTGTTTCTACATCTTTCCGTTTTTGTATATCAACCGAGGCGAACTAGGTGTACCACCTTGTATATTGAGAGAAGACCATGATTCATTTCTGAAATATATATTTTTATAAAACATTTAAATTGCGTATGTAGCGGACTGTATTGATTTTAAAACGTTTTAAATGAATGGATAACGTTTTAAATGAATGGATACATTTAAGTAAAAGTACCACCTTCAGTAAAATTTAAACTGAATTTAATAATTTAAATTAAAAATGGGTTACCTACACAAGTGGAGCCTAAATATTTGTATTTAAATGTCCGGTACGATAAATTAGTGCTGGGCAAAAAAATATTATATATTTTAACTATTATTAAATAACAGTTGGAAACTGTTACTGCTACTTATTATAAACAAGGGGTTTTTATCAGGTTTCAGTAATTTTTGAACTTTATTGTTAAACATCTGAAACAGCATAATCCAAATTGTCTTAAAATCATAACAATCCTCATTTTTTTAGAATAAAAAATGTACATTCTAAAAATATTAAACAAATAAGCTCTGAATTATATGTCTGAATATGTTTATTATATTAATAATAATTAAGAAAATAGTAATATTTTAAACAATTATCAATATTAATTAATATGTTCAAAAATATAATAACTTAGACAGCCTTCATTTATTTCAGTAGTTGAAAAGTGCCTAATCTTTTCTTTGGTGGATTTACAAGTGACAATTTTTTGATATTATTATTGTTAATGACGTAGTTAAAAAAGAACGTAATATTTAAAAATATTAGTAAAAATAAATATATAAAATTAAATTACGTTATTAAGTTACGTTACATTATACGAGTAAACTATAGAGCGATGTTTGCAGAAAGCAAATTGTAACAAGAAACTTGCTCAAATCAATTCTAATAACAGAAGCATCCTCTAGACAGTGGTCAGCAATCCGCGGCCCGTGTTTCCATTTGTTATGGGCAGAGAAGTTTTACCAGCAAAATAAAAAAAAAAGACGAAAAAAGTAATACCGACGTAATTTACCGGAAGAAGCTGGAATACATTTGAAGGCAAAATAAAAAAACTAAATCACCACAATACACCAAAACACTTTTACTTTTACACTGGACGCGCGTTTCGCTAACCATGTTAGCATCATCAGCAGATGATTATAAACTCAACATAACATGGTTAGCGAAACGCGCGTCCAGTGTAAAAGTAAAAGTGTTTTGGTGTATTGTGGTGATTTAGTGTTTTCATTTTGCTGTGTAACACCAAAGGTTCCAACCCTCAACTGTAATATACATTTGAAGGGCCCAGGGAAAAAACTTCATAAGCACCAATTTCTTAATTTTAGAATTTTACAATATTATATATTATAAACTCTGCTTATATGTATAAACTCTGCAAGGTAATAAGTTGTTAAATCCTATGTTATGCCTAAAGGACGTACAAAATAAAAACCGTTGCACGCTATCGATTAAGCTAGTAAATGTGTGCAGTGCTGCCACCACGCAAATATAGCCCTAACGGGACGTCTTCAAAGAGTTTTACATGTCCCTCTCGATACTGTGTTGGCAACGCCAAGAAAGTGGTTGCTGCGGTGCCACGTTTATTCGACATTTGTCAGAATTTTCTGAACGTTAATTGAGAGTTGTGTCTCGTGTGTATTGTGTCTTAAAGCTTTTAAAACCTATATCTAGCGATTGAAAACTGTTGTTTTCAGAATATTTTGTGTAGTGGTTGTTGCAATTCTTGCAAATTATTTGCAAAATGCCCAAGCAGTTAAATAGTCGGTGTCAAGAATTAGTGTCATCTCTGATACAATATTTTGAGGAAGAAAGGGACAATAACGACCCGTTGTTACCTTTAAAGGCGGTTCGAGAAAAATGAAGATGTTTGGTGAAAACTAACATAAAAAGTGTTTTAAACAATAAAAAAAAACATGTTTTTTTATAAATAGTGCTCTTCAGCACTGCCTGAAACTATTTAAAACTGTTAACAATATAAAGCTTATTTAAATTTTTAATAGATCTTAGATATTGTACATTTTTCAAAAAATATTTTTCTTTCTATTACAATCTGGCAACAATGCTGTCTAAAATGTAAGCACGTGCTCGATGGAGGTGGCTTTATCCTGACGAAAGTTCAAACTGTCGAAACTTTTGTGTAGTATCGGGGGCGGTCGTGCGGAGCCGACTGTAAACCGCCTAAACTCCTCCTCCTTTCTTCGTTTAGGATATGTCTAAGCCGAAACAGAATAAAAACGTGTTCTTCTTTCAA